GTTCCTTCGACGGACGAGCCAAGGCAATCTATAAATTTCAAAACGATCACCCAAACAAATCTCAGATGATGGATATAAAACGAGAGATGCCAAAGCTCAGACCAACCAACTACTCCTCCTTCTAAATCCTTAAGGCACCGCTTCTTTACAGTGAATGGAGCCTATGTACAAAGCTATAAATGTGTGCACTGAAGTGCTGAAGTTTGCAATGACATCATCAGCACAAATCAGCAAGAAACAAAAGCCCTACTTCCATTAAGCTCAACAGTCGGATTTTTCCCATCAGGAAATCCTTGTGCTTCTGAAGATCATCCCATTCCGCCCACTGCGGGCTGTACTGATTGAATTTGTTGAGATCGCCAGCATTGAATGCATAGAGAACATCAATTATCCACTTCTCCTGCGTGCCCTCCAGAGACTTCAGCACCGGATGTGCCAGCTGGAACAAACACAAATCAAAAATTAACGCTTCCAAGAACAGCAACACTGCCCGGACTCAACGTGGGAATCCCACATTAGTAATTTTATTGAAATACACTCGTAGGTCGGTGCAGCTGTGCCAGGCCCTTCGTTAGCATCTGCCGCCAACTTTGTGCATGTGCAGTACCTTTTCAAACCAGATCCTCGCGAATACCACCATGCATTCATATGCGACGTCCCGCATGCCGTGTGCAGGATGAGCAACATGCCTTCCTCCTCAAAATTCACTTTCCCGAGTAGCCGCTTCCAATTCATTTTCATTTCTGTACCATTGGCGGACATAATGCAAAAGTAGTTTACAATGCCGCAGCAAACAACTTAATTCTCTATCACAAACAACTGTTCTGAATCAGACGATGGAAACCCCAGTTCCTCGATATTCGTTACAACGACGTGCTGAAACTAGCATTCAGCTGCCTACAGCTAACTTCCAGGCAACTCCCAAAAGAGGCAAAAAATAAACACACACACACAAAAACCAGAGCACACAAGAATAACTGCAAAAAAACGATACCAATTCTCCAAAATT